ATAATTGACAGTCTGGTGGAGTCATCTCTTCTATTCATGCTTTCAGGTCTTTTTTCAATCTCTATGGCTTCTCTGATAATTTTGTAGCTGGGGTTTTCTACAGTGGCTAGGGTTTTGGTGCTATGACCTGTGGTTTTCATGTGTTGACAAGTGAGGAAGTGTGTTCCAGCTTTTTTTTACTGCATTTTTATGTTCATCCAGGCGGGTACTTATTCTTCTATTGGTCTGCCCAATGTATGTGGCAGGGCATGATGCACAGGGGACTTCATATATGCCTTGGTTTTCCAGGTCAATTTTATATTTGGGGTTTCTTAGGATGGATGCTATTTTTCTGTCTGTTTTGAAGGCAGTCTTGATGTGATGCCTGTGTAGTATCTTATCTGTAGTACCTCTTATGTAGGGCAGGACAGCTGTTCCATAGGTCTGTTCATCTTCTAGGTCTTCATTATGTCTCATTGTGTTTTTGTGGATCAGGCCTGTGATTTTGCTTTTGTGGAAGCCATTAGCTGTCAATACTTTAGTCAGGGTGCATAGTTCAGGCTTTATGTGTGTCTTGTCTGCCAGGCGTTTGGTTCTGGCGATTAGTGTTTTGGCCACGGAGTTTATCTGTCCTGTGTGGTGGTGGGATTGGGTGTTGAGGTAGCAGTTGGGGTGTGTTTTCTTCTGGTATATGGTGTGTCCTAGTGTGCCATCTGTTTTTTTGTAGATTAGTACATCTAGGAATGATAGTTGTTTGTTTGTTTCCGTTTCCATGGTGAATTTGATTTTGGGGGTGTGTGCTGTTTAGGTGTGTTAGGAAATTGTTTAGGTTTTCTTTTCCATGGGGCCAAATAATTCGAATCCAGAGCCCTAGCCAATGCCATCCACAAACCTAAAGTATGGCTAATGACACATTTGTCATTGTCGATGACACGTTTGTTATTTGGCCCCATGGAAAAGAAAACCTTAAAAGTCTTCAGTGATGAAGCACCCACACCTTCTGAACTCAAGCCATTGCATTGGTTAATTGTTCTCAACAATCGTAGATAAGGACCTGCTACTAAATTTCAGCCACAGAACTTTGCAGTAGGAGTAACTTTCTTTCCTCCAATGCTTGTCTCAGGAGTAAATCAGCAACACTTGTTCTGCCTCAGTATCTGCATTTTATATTTTCCTCACTCTGTTTGTCTTTTAACGAGAGTAGTAGCACAGGCTTCTCCACTTGCAGAAAAAAATCAGTTGGCAGGAGGGGTATTTAAACTTACTTTTAGTAACAGTCCCAAGTGCTGTGAATAGGTAGTTGTAGGCCAGAAGATGGTGGACCACAGGAAAGTGATGGATAGAAGCAAAGGCCATGAATCTTCTCATATTTCTCTGCCTTGAAACCTGTCCTTCCTCTCTTTTCCAGCGTGCACAGCAGCAATCATGTCCCTGACTGAGAATCTTAAAAATGTAGGGCTATTGTGTTTGAAATTCCCCTTCAGCTTCCATTTAACACCCCCACTCACCCACCAAATCTCCCTAGGCTTCACAGAGAGCTGCCTCACTGATGCAGTTCCAAGCAAGGCTGAGGAAGATATGAGGAATGGTCTATGGCTACCTGCTGTTTGAATCAGAGTAAATGTCTTGGATGGAAACTCCTGCTGAGCTCCATGTGGATGCCAGGAAATATTTGTTTGCTGTCCAGTCAGATCAGCAGCTAGTTTTCTGGCTATACCATACAGTATTTTGCAAAGTGAGTCACTGTTCTTAGAAAGGTTGATAAACTATGTTTGAGCTGATTCAATTTCTATTGTATTTATGGATAACTTTAAATGCCAAGACAGAAACTGTGGTGGTATCTATAAATTTAGCTTGATTAAGCCATGGAAACTTTGACAGTTGGCAATTTTTTGGATTGAACATATAAATGGCAGCAGAAACATACAAGCAAGTATTTGAAGAATCAGATCCAGTTTCAGAATGTGTGTGTCAGGGGTGGGATGCTACTGGTTCTGCCCGGCTCTATAGAACTGGTAGCTCTGAAGAGCAGCAGACACCAAACCTGTGCTCTGTGTCTGCTATTATTTGGCCCACCTGCCTGCCTAGGCTTTTACTTGTCCTTTATTTCCTGCTTTTTCAACCTCAGCTGCTTTGCACGGCACAGCTGAGGTTGGAAAAGCAGTAAAAACCTGGTGCAAAGCGTAATCACCGAACCCGTAATAACACTGGTTGAATCCCACCCCTGGTGTGTGTGTGTGAGAGGCGGGGGGAGGGAAGGAGGGAGGGAGGGAGGGAGACACACAGAGACAGATAATAGAATTGTATATCTAGTTAACAAGTTTCAGGATCAAGAAAAAAGAGAAAATTAGATAATAGAAGTTTTAATGATGCAGTTGTTGATCATCTGCTGGGGAGGGGATGGAGTCTATGTATAGGATGACCGTGTTGTGGGATCTGCTATACTAGGGCATACTGATTATGGAAGAATGACATGGAACTGAGAAATTGAGCCATTGTTCTCAGAACTAAATCAAGATTTCATTATGCTGAACTAGACTTATATTGTGCCTTCATTCTAGTAAATTCACAACATCTTTCTGCATCATGCAGACTCTTTATGTGGATGTTATGTTTATCTAGAATTCAGAAAATAAAATTGATTTAGAGCCAAACTAATTGCTTGGCTTCCTACCATCTATCTGGGATTCTGATTTCCAATCATCTCCTCTCTTGTTGCCAGAGCTCTTTACTGATAATAAATGTATCATACCAGAGTATCAAGGTCTATAGTAAGAAACTTCTGTGAGCCAGATTTGTCCCCCAAGTCCTCTTTCAATAGCTTCCAAAGTCCTCCCAAACCAGAAGCAACACAAGACTCCAATAAGATTAACACCTATTTTATTTTTTACTGTTTTTATTTTTGATTACCACACTGCTAAAAGTCCTTGGAGGCTGATTTTTTTTAAAAAAAACATTTGATGTAAAAATGTTGCTTTGTTTAGATTGATGGATACATCAAACCCATCACTAACTTGTTTACTTCATGGTGCAGAATAGAGGATCACTTGGTGTTTTATTTCCCATTTCAATTTCCATTTATTTATTTGTTGTTTGTTTCTTTATTTATTCAGTCATTCAATTTCTATAGCTGCCCAACTCAACCAAATGACTCTGGACAGCTTACAATTCTAAAATGATAAAACAACATAAACAATAAGAACATTACAACTGTAAAAAAAGTTAATGTTTGCTATAGTTTTGCTAGTTGAACTGGATATCACAAATCCTTTCTCTGATCTGGGTATAGGGATTGGATGTATGCAAAGTAAGCTGGAAATTGCTCACCGGAATTTTCCAACATGGATTTGGTACACTTTTGGAACATTAGCAACCAACTCTTCTTATACCATTTAGGTACACATGTATAATTAATCTGGTGGTTGAGTTACTGGAATATTAAATTAGGTCCATTTTTCAAAATTTCAGGTTCAAGAAGAGAGCGTTGTGGGTATCGTATTGTTCGCCGTCATCGCAATCCAGAAGATTTGGTGAATTGTGTAGGCAAAGGGAAAAAGAATAATGAAAGCATCATCCAAGCAAAAGAAACCTTGGGCAATGAAATAAGCCCAGAACAGTTTGTCTCCATATTACTTGAAGCTGAACCACCAAATGTGTTGGTGAGTCACCCCAACAGGCCGTTTACAGAAGCTTCCATGATGATGTCCTTGACGAAACTTGCAGACAAAGAATTGGTCCATATGATTGGCTGGGCGAAAAAAATCCCTGGTAAGGAATTTGAAAACTCCTGTGTTTTAGAGTGGAGCTTGTGCTAAATGACATTTGAAATGTAAGTATGTATAAAAAGTATAAATATTTTTTAAACAAAACTTAGGGCCTACAATGAGAAAAATATATCAAGGATTGCATTATTGTTTGGCAATACAACCTCAGTAAGGCCATTGTTTGGAGCAAAAGGAGAAACATAGAATATAAGGTTTCACAGGATCATGATAGTTTAATCCCCAGCCCAGGATAGGCATAAGCTACTGCAACATCCCTGACAAAACCATCCAGCCAGTGGTGGGATTCAATTTTTTTTACTATCAGTTCTGTGTGTGTGGCTTGGTGGGTGTGGCATGGCTTGATGGGCGTGGCTTCGTGGGCATGGCAGGGGAAGGATACTGTAAAATCTCCACTCCCTCCCTACTCCTGGGGAAGGTTACTCCATTCCCTCCCTACCCCACTAACCTGCTTTCCAGCTCCATTCTCCTGTGCAGGGCAACAAAAGAAGACCAAGCCGATCAGCTGGGACTCAGGAGGCAGAGAATAGATGGGGGCAGGGCAAGTCAGAGGTGGTATTTGCTGGTTCTCTGAACTACTCAAAATTTCTGCTACCGGTTCTCCAGAACTGGTCATAACCTGCTAAATATCACCTCTGCATCCAGCATATTTAAACATCCCCAGCACAGGTGACTGACCAATTTCCAAGACGTTCAAAGCTTTTTTTTGTTCAGCCTTTTTCTCTCAAGTTCAACCAAATTTATTGTCTCATAATTTAAACCCACTATTTCTTGCCTTTCCCTATCTTCTGGACCAACTCTGAAAAATTCTGGACCATGTTCTATATCGGGATCCCCAATCCCCAGGCTGAGGCCTACAATCGGGCCTTGAGCCATTTGGAACGGGCCGTAGAAGTGGTGAGAGAGCATGTGTGCATCGCCACATGTGTGGCCACTGCTTGGCCAGTGAGCAAATAAATTTCACCTGTGTGTGAAGTCCATCTGCATGAGTGGCAGGCCTGTGTGCCCACTGTTCGTGCAAATGGAGGTGTACATGTGTACACCTGCCATTCACGTGGACTCATCCCCTCCCCTCTGCCAGTCCACAAAGCCAGAAAAGTTGGGGAACTCTGTTCTATATGAAACTCTTCAAATATTTGAGGAAACTATCATGTCTCCTGGCAATCTCTGCCCCAGGATAACCATACTCAACACTTCCAAACATTCTGAGGCTTTTCTTTCTAGCATCCTTATCATTTGTTGCTCTCTTCTGGGAATGATGTGCTTGCCACTCCCTTTCCTAAAATGCGGTGCCCAGAATTGAATGCAATATTCTAGGTGCAGCCTAATTAAAGCAGAATAGTGAGGAACAAGGACTTTTATTCAACATTATATTTGTGCTGATACAGTATAGAACTGCATTTGCTGGGGTTTTTTTTTTTTTTTTGCAACTGCACCACATTGTGGGTAATATTCAGCTTATGAGTCACCCATATACTTTTTGTATTGTATCCTTTCATATTCATACCTCTGATTTTTCCCAATGCAAATAGAGGATTTTTGCATTTATTATTGTGGAAATTTAATTTTGCTAGACTTTGCCCAAAGTATCAGTTTGTCAAGATCCTTTTCTAAAGCAGTATTTCTCAATCTTAGCAACTTTAAGATATGTGGACTAGTCAATAATCTGATCTAATCTTTCATTTCAAGTATTTTCCTCACTTTTCCTGGCTGTATCTTTGGACAAGTAGACCTGAGAAATACTATTTATGCTCCAAGTCTGCATTGGCTGTTTTGGCAGCTGCAGCCTATGTAAGTGCCTGTCCACTAGGATTCCTAAATCCCTCTCACAGTTACTGCTCTTGAGCCAGGTACCAACTGTTCTATACTGCGCATTTGGTTCTTCTTGCCTAAATGTAAAATCTTCCCACTGAATTGGATTTTGTTGAATAAGATGCAGTGATATATTTGGCCCTTTTTGTTCCCCAAGGCAACTTGGGCTCCCCTGAGGTTTGTTGTTTAATTTTAGCATTTCACTTACAACCCAGGTTCCTATTTTGGAAAAGCTTTTACTCATTTGTATTAAAAACTTGAATTTTTCAATTGCCATTTTTAGACAGCTGTGACTTCCCAGTGTGACTCAGGAAATTATCTAGATAACAAGTGGCTTTTTCTATCATTTGTATCTGTGTGATTCTTCCTCCTTGATTTTTAACCATGTACTTTATTCAGCGTTTAAGGTTTTCTTTTCCTCTATAAAGAATATTACTTTCAATTGGTCCATTATGACTGGTGCTGCTTTTAGCTTACTTAAAAGCCCTGGTTAGCTAGTTTGGTGGGGTTTGGTTTTTACATTTTTAAAGTAGAAGTAATCCCAGCTCTATGAGAAACATAGCTGTAGTTAAATAATAACTTAAAAATAAGATAGTTTGACTTCTTTTTGTTGTAACAACATTAGAAGTAAGGGATAGGGAAGAAACAAAAAAGCCCCCAAATTAGACACAATTTTAAAATCATGAGATCTTCAGGTATGAATACATACAAACTCCCATGCTTGATATTGCTGGCATCATATATGGATACATAAATCTGAAGCTCTTAATGTATTGACAGATAAAGAATAGTTTATTATTTAGCAGCAATTATTAACAAGACAGGATTTACGTAAGTGGAAGTCATTTTTTTTCTTTAAGACTTATAAATAGAATAGAATAACAGAGTTGGCAGGGACCTTGGAGGTCTTCTAGTCCAACCCCCTGCCTAGGCAGGAAACCCTACACCACTTCAGACAAATGGTTATCCAATCTCTTCATAAAAACTTCCAGTGTTGGAGCATTCACAACTTCTGGATGCAAGTTGTTCCACTGATTAATTGCTCTAACTGTTTAGAAAATTTGTTCTTAGTTCTAAGTTGTTTCTCTCCTTGATTAGTTTCCACCCATTGTTTCTTGTATGTATGACTGTATGACTGTAACTTTGTCGCTTGTATCCTTACGATTTATATTGATTGTTTCCTAGTATGATTTGATTGCTTATTGTACCCTATGACTATTATTAAGTGTTGTACCTTATGATTCTTGACAAATGTATCTTTTCTTTTATGTATACTGAGAGTATTTGCATCAAGACAAATTCCTTGTGTGTCCAACCGCACTTGGCCAATAAAGAATTCTATTCTATTCTATTGTCCTGCCCTCGGGTGCTTTGGAGAATAGTTTGACTCCCTCTCTTATCCCTTATCCTCATCCTCCCTTATCCTCATTCAATTTGCAGATACTGGATGTACCTTGAATCTGCAGATGGCTCCCATTTATATATGGGTTGGACCATTTTCATTGTATGTTGTGAGGAAGGTTTAATTCAACATATAGTAATGAAGTCAATAGCTAGAACTGTTGTAGTCCAGACTGAATAAATAAAAGCTCTACCAAAGAACAGTGGCATTATAAACTAAAAAGTTGAGAAGGGCTTTTAAGCCATCAAGTCCAACCTTCTTCTCAGAAAAAAAGATTTCCATTAAAGCAGGGGTCTCCAATCTTGGCAACTTTAAGACTTGCAGACTTCAACTCCCAGAATTCCTCAGCCAGCTTTGCTGGCTGAGGAACTCTGGGAGTTGAAGTCCACAAGTCTTAAAGTTGCCAAGGTTGGAGACCCCTGCATTAAAGCATCCTGACAGGTGGCTATACAATTTCTACAGGCACAAGTAGACCTCCATTACAACAATCCACTTCTGGAATAAGTTACAACGGCACTGAAAAAAGTGGCTTCTCATAGTTACAACTTTTGCAGCATCTCCATGATCATGTGATCAAAATTCAGGTGCTTGGCAACTAGTTTATATTTATGAGCTTCTCTGTGTCCCAAGCTCATGTGATTACCTTTTGCGATCTTCTGACAAGGAAAGTCAACAGGGAAGCCAGTTTCACTTAACAATTGAGGCATTAATTTATCAACTGCAATGATCCACTGGCAAGAAAGGTTTTAAAATGGGGCAAAGCTCACTTAACAAATGTATCACTTGACAACAGAAATTTTGGGCTCAGTTGTAGTCATAAGTGCAGGACTACCTATATTGTATTCTACATATATTTGATGTTATTTACAGTATAATCTACTCCAATCCTAGTACAGAATGGGCAGGAGTCAACAAAAGGCCAAACATATGATTTAAAGAACTGAAATATGAAGACAATTAAACCAACTGTATTTTGGTTCTATTGTCAAACTGTTATAGTCAGAAGACTCTCCTAGCATTCTACCATAATCAGTTCAGCATGGTGCCACAGCCACACAACTTTACAATTAGGATACAAAGACACTAATGCTTCAGATATTACTCCAATAATGCCTAATATTGGTGACATTTACATACGTAGATTTTGATTTCAATAATCTGAGCACAGTTAATAAAATGTACCTAAAATTTTTCCTGAATGTTTTTTTAAATAAATTTTTTTAAAAGTTTAACAGATTTTACAGCTGGAAAAACAAAATATATAAGTGGGGAAGGGGGGGGAGTTAAAAAATGAAGGACAGTTTGCACAAAAACAATACAGTAACCTGTTGCCTAATGCTTTTCATTAAAAGTCTTCAATGAAATTTGGAGGTATTGATATACTTGAATAGGAGTCCTGATGATAGTAATTGTACTTTGATCATTGAAGAATTTTAGACATTTGCACTCAGCTGGGAAATGAATCCATTTTCACTTTTGATTACTTTCCCTGCTTATTTTGTCACTCACAGTGATAGAGGTAGAATGTGTGTAATTCTGCTGCCTCTCCAATTCAATCCATTTTTGTAGTAAATGCAGTTGTTATTTTTTTCTTCTCACTTGAAAAAACCCTCCTTTAACTTGGATCCAAATATATTCACATTTAGAATAGCACTTTGAAAGAAATGTGGCATAATGTAATCATGACTAACTGAACTTCTGCTGATTTTGATAAGTCTACCACAGCCATGACTAAGCCAACAAACCCCTTTTTTTAACAAGCATTTGTCTTCATCAATATTGTTTCTTTCGATTCAGAGTGGTCTGTTTTCCTTATTAATCTGACTCTCAGGAAAAATACTAGCTAAATTCAATCTGTAAAATCAAACTGCCATTATATTGTAGGATACATCTGTGGTGTGAGAAAGTTGGAAGACAGAATAGAAGTGTGATCATCTTAAAAAACTGATACTGCAGATATTAACATAAACCTTTTAAATCTGGATAAATGTTCACGCAATATTCCATTTACAAAATAGAGATGAATAACCTTTTTACGAAAACAGAATGCATTTCTTCTTTGAATAGAGTGTCAAGGTAAAGGTGTTGGATTTAAATAAAATAAATAAATAAATAAATTCAACACAAGAGTAGAGTTGTTGTCCACACATTTAGGAGTTTTAATATTTTATCTCAATAACATTTATAATTTGGTGGCAAGTTTTGAGAGATTTTGAGCACCCAAAGGTTTTGGAAGATCTTGAACTAACTTACAACATGATAAAAATCTGCAAGAAAAAGCACAAATTAGTTTAATATTAAGAAACCCACAAGGGCTAAAAAGGGGGAAAAATCTAATTATACAAATGCTGTTTATATTTATTTATTAAAATGTTATATATCTGGCTCTGGGCAGCCCAGATTTTTTAAATTTAGTGTTATACAAGTAGATTTCAAATATATATTTTTCTAAGAATATATTTCTAAACATATGCTATATTAAAAATGCATGTAATATTCCTTTTGGTACTTAATTTTTTTATTAATTGGGAACCACACTGTAACATTTGAAAAGTAGAACATCAGAAGGATAATTGTGATCTCATTAGCCAAAAGCTGTAGATTAGATTAAATCCCATTGAAATATAAGCAGAAAAGCCACTTCCAACCTTCAGAAATGTAGCAATGTATAAACTGAAGCAAGCTAGCCAGTAAGTAGTAAATAAAGCAATAAAATAAATAAAGGAAGTGATAAATAAAATAAACACTGTAGAGTTCTTGGTGCTTACATCTTTCTACCATCTCATTTAATAAGAATCACTTCCTACCAGAGCACATTTTCTTTAATGAAAGAAAGCAGTGGGGTTTCATTGCATATTCTTATGTATAAATTATTATAACCTCCTTCTTCTCTTTCTCTTCCTTTTCTCTTAAAAATAACAACACTTTTTCATTTCTACCATGACCTTCTGAAGAGAATGGTTGATTTTTCCATAAGGCTTTACTTTTAGTGCCAGCTAGAATAGAAGACTGCAGCTGATACATTTCTAGCTAATTTGTATGGCTCCTGGTTTTAAGAATATAAGAAGGGCTGTAGCACAGATCACGGATGCAGGATTGTGGTGTTCCCCATCCATGAATTTTCTAAATACAGGTAATCCTCGAGTTACGACCACAGCGGAGCCCAAAATGTATGTTGCTAAGGGAAACATTAGTTCAGTGAGTTTTGCCCCATTTTAGGACCTTTCTTGCCACAGTTGTTAAGAGAATCACTGCATTTGTTAAGTTAGCAACACAATTGTTAAGTGAATCTGATTTCCCCATTGACTTCGCTTGTCAGAAGTTCGCAAAAGGGGATCATCACATGACTGCAACTGTCATAAATGTGAACCAATTGCCAAGCATCTGAATTTTGATCACATGATCACAGAGATGCTGCAACAGTCATAAATGTGAAAAATGGTGATGTCACTTTTTTTCAGTGCCATTGTAACTTTGAACAGTCACTAAATGAACTGTTGTAAGTCTAGGACTACCTGTATTACTAGGGAAGTTCTACTTAGTGGAAAGTGTTGGAGATTCCCCTGAAGGCTGATTAATCTGATTCTAAAATACATAAAATGTTGAGTCCTCAATTGAGTGGTAGGAAAAGAAATGGGAAGTGAAGGCAAAACAGGGAAATCCCTGTTCAGGTCATAGATGAAGGATGAAATATAATTTTGTGGTTTACACCATTTCAGACAAATGGTTATCCAACATCTTTTTAAAAACTTCCAGTGTTGGAGCATTCACAACTTCTGGAGGCAGGTTTTTCCACTGATTAATTGTTCTAACTGTCAGGAAATCCCTCTTTAATTCTAAGTTGCTTCTCTCCTTGATTAGTTTCCATCCATCTCTTTTTGTTCTGCCTTCAGATGCTTTGGAGAATAGCTCAACTCCCTCTTCTTTGTGGCAGCCCCTGAGATATTTGAACACTGCTATCATGTCTTCCCTAGTTCTTCTTTTCATTAGACTAGACATACCCAGTTCCTGCAACTGTTTATTTATTTATTTGATTTGATTTGTCAATTGCTTACAAGATAATAGGTATAAGTATAAACATAGTTATGAATATATGGATACATATAAGAAAAATAAAAGAAACAATAGGACAGGGACGGTAGGCACCTTGGTGCACTTATGCACGCCCCCTACAGACCACTTAGGAAAGGGGTGAGGTCAATAGTAGATAGTCTAAGGTTAAAGTTTTTGGGTTTGGGGAAGAAACCACATAGTCAGGTAGAGTATTCCAGACACTGACCACTCTGTTGCTGAAGTCGTATTTCCTGCAATCAAATTTGGTGCGGTTAACCATGAGTTTGTATCTACTGTGTGCTCTTGTATTGTTATGGTTGTTCTTCATATGTTTTAGCTCCAGTCCCCTAATCAACTTTGTTGCTCTAAATATTACTTTAAATATGTTCCATCAATTAAACAATGTTACCCTTTGGGATCTGGGATCTTTATTGTCGGAGAACCATTATGTCATTTAGGAAATTGTTAAAGACCTGGTGGTCCTTTTAGGCCTTGGGCACAGGATGATTGTAGTTATGGTTGGTTTAGCCTTGCTGTTTTGTTCTTCAGGTTATTGTTTTTACAAAATCTTAACATATCTTGTAGAATCCTTTGCAATAAGCATCCAGAATGTATTTATTTAATAATAAATCACATTTATAAAGCCAAACTCCATATGTCTGTCACCCAGTATGGATCGTAGATGAAGGAAGGAAGGATCCACCACTCAGAATCAACAGTTGACAAACTTCTAAGAATTTAGGTCATGGATTTTCTAATTTCAAGTGAATCAAGAAGATAACTTTGAACTTTTAAGATTTTACTTTGTTCTGGAGACAGGGAAGGTGTACGTATTTGGATATTCATGATGTAAATATGCCTTCTTTCCTTTCCCCCTTCTTTTAAAGGCTTTGTAGAACTGAGTCTATATGATCAAGTAAGGCTTTTGGAAAGCTGTTGGTTGGAAGTATTAATGGTGGGTCTAATGTGGAGATCCATTGATCACCCAGGGAAGCTCATATTTGCACCAGATCTCGTGCTTGACAGGTGAGAAATAAGTATTGCTAGACTTGCACGTATGTTTGGAAGCTAAGATTTAAGATTAACAAGCAAACACAATCTTTTACTCTACTTAGGAAGGCCCAAATATTTTCTCCTGCATGAACTATCATGGTTAACGTTCAGTTCACCCCGCCCATCACCTCCTGCAGGTTTACCTGCAATGATATTAAAAGAAGCTCCACCAATTCCTGAACAAGTGTTCAGCTGGAGTTAACTGGAAAGGCTACAGACAGTATTTTGTAGCAATCTAGTGTTGGGCAATTTTTTATAGCCGCAAACCATTTTTTAACTATTGTTTTTTCAGATTGCAAGAAACTGTGGGGGTGTGTGTACCGTTGTTATTTCACTAGTCAAAACAAGGCTGGAATTTTTGGTCATTCTAGAAATATGTGTGGGATGTTAGGTTGAATGAAATATAGTTATTTTCGGAGGAGGTTTTAAGTATCAGAGCAGCAAGACAGAAAGAGAAAGAAAGTTAAAAGCATATGATCATGAGTGAGATTGTAATGAAGGTATGATTTCATCTTTTATAAAATGAACAAAGATTGTGTTCAACACTTGCACTTAATGCTTCAAATATGCACAGTGTACATAAAATATGAAGCATTTAATAGAGGCAAAATGTGACTACATGTTGGAATGAAATGCAGTATTTTGATGGAATGCCTGCTTTGTATGTCAAGTAATACTCTGACTATTTTCAAAATAGGGATGAGGGAAAATGTGTAGAAGGAATTTTGGAAATCTTTGACATGCTCTTGGCAACAACTTCAAGGCTTCGAGAGCTGAAATTGCAGCACAAAGAATATCTCTGTGTCAAGGCGATGATTCTTCTCAATTCCAGTGAGTAGAAGTTTCAGTTATGTCAAGCTATTGAGACAAAAAGTTGGGTTGTGGTAAGAAAAATTTCAGAGGACGCAAGAGCTGTTAAGGTGAATGAAATAAAAACAACCAAAGTGCTTTCCCCTTCTTTAGAGTATAATGGTTTTATACCTAAGACCTAGGTCACTATATTGTGCTATTCTGCATGATTTTGTGTGCACGCCCAACTGTTTTCCTAGGTTTTTCTATGGAATTAAGTTTGTATATTCCAGATCAGTGTTTATCCACCCTCTCTGGGGGCTATTCCTTTGATTGACCCCTAAATACAGGATCTGATGATCAAATTGAGCAAGTTACTTCTTACATTAAAAAACAAGGGTGTTAAAACGTATTTCTTCCTTTTAAATTGGTGTCTCATGTTGTGCGCACATGTGTATGTGTGGTTCATACAAGCTGTCTCTCTGCCATTATCAAAAACAATAGAGGACTTTTATCACTATCAGTTGCATTGGAGAGAAGGGGGTTCCTTTACAACCCAACTAGCACATGAATCAGTAATGTTGTCTTGAGAGACTAATCATCATAATAAACTCAAGTGCCTGTCTGGTAGAAATGCTTCTAAAAGCTTTGAAAACATATTTGTAGTAAAAAAATAATAATTTAAGAACCTTTAGGAAGCTCTCATTGAAAGCAGGCAAATTTCAAAACCTTTTAAATGTTATCTGAATTATGAATATAATATTTATTTTGGTTTACTTTTTAAATTATTTATGGCGCTATCCTGAATTCACATGAGCCACTGTTTTTCTATTTAAAACTTACATAGAGTATTGGCATTTTCAGAGAAGAGCCGTTTTCTTCACAACTGCTTAGTCAATTTAGCTAATTAGCTAAACTAATTTAACTGAAAATAATCACCATTAGTATTTTTAGGATGTTGTAAACTATTTTTTTTGCTCTAAGGCATTTGTCTTGGACACTTCAATGTGAAACAGTATAATGGTCAAAGAAAAGATTGGATAACCAACTACATTGAGAAGGAAATAAAGAAACTGACAAAATGAATATAAGCTGCATAGTAAGCAGAGTTGTACATTCTTAAAGCCTTTCCATACTGTGTGTTGCCATTTATGAACTGCAAATAAATCCTGCTATGCTGATTTCATGCTTGCTTGCCTTCATGGCTTTTATCTCATGATTGTTTGGTTTCCTATTGTCTCTCCAATTGCACACAATATTTTGCAAGATGAACTGGGTTTTCCAAGGATTAAAAAAAAGGGGGGGGGGAATAGATGGGCGTTGGCATAAAGCAGCCAATCAATGTTCATGTCTTCTACTTAACTACTGTGTTTATTACCCTACCCATGTGCCACTGCTCTGTATTTTCAATAATAGCTCTTCTATCTTTCTTCACAAAGAACAGAAGCATAGCCATTTCTAATATTTCTTCTCTCTGTATATGCACAATCCATATGATCCTTGAGGAAGATGGACAGTCTAAAAACATGAAATATAAAAGAATGAAAAATGTGTACTGGAGGGTCAGTTTATAAAATATATCTTCTGATGGGGCAGCTTCAAGAGTAGTTAAATCTTTTTTTTGAAACTGTTAACAAATGCAGAGAAGACAAGGAGGAAAAACATTGATGGCATATCAGCAAGCTACCAAAACACTGTTCCAAGAGGAACAGTGGTTATCTGCTTATCTTCCCCGGCCCACTGGTTGGTGACTACTGCTCTGGGCAATGATATTAGTAAGCTACCAAAATGCTGTTTTTGAACTGGTTTTGTTTAGTTTACCTTAGTTTAGTTTAGTTTAGTTTACTTTATTGTCATTGTACCTTGTACAATGAAATCAAACACCATCTTCAGTGCACACCATGACCATGAAAATAAACACAAACGCACATCCTTCCCACTCCACACATTGAACCGAAAACCCGCAACACCACACCAACACTGCACTATACAGTAGAATTCAACAGAGCTACTGCTCTGAGATAGAAGCTGTTTTTCAGCTTATTTGTTTTTATTGTTCTGTACCGTCTGCCAGATGGTAATAGTTCAAAAAAAGGATGTCCAGGATGAGATGGATCTTTGAGAATGTTTTGAACTTTCTGAAGGCAGCGGGAGCTATAAAGCTCTTCCACAGTGGGGAGCAGGCAACGAATGATCTTCTAGGCCAGGGGTCATCAACCTTTTGGACCTCAGGGAACTCACCAAAATCCCACGGACCAGAGACCCTGGGAAAATCCTAAAAAAAGTCTGCAGGAAAACTCCCCACCCCAGTTTCCTACCAATTGATTATACTTTATTTGGGATTGCAGGATACCATCTCCAGCTCCATTCTCAGAGGGAGAGAGAGAGAGACTTTTGACTTCATGCAAGGAAAGCAGCAGAAACAGCAGAAGTCTTTCTTTTTCTCCCCCAAACTCAGCCAGAAATGAGTCTTTGTGAGACTTGTTGTGCCAGTGCAGCCTCTTGGAGCAGGATACCTTGCAGGGTCCCAAAGACTGATTTCTGGGGAGTTTGGGGGAGAGAAAGAACGACTTTTGTTGCTTTCCCTGCATGTAGCCAAAAGCAGAAGAAGAAAGAAGCAGAAAGAAGCAGCCCCGTGGCCAGGCCAGGTGCATGGGGCGAGTGGGGCAAGTTCCCCCCTCTGCCCTTTCCCCCCCTCCCCTCACTACCTCGTGTTGTTTGCAATGCAAGCACCGCAAGCCTTGTGTTCCCATGGGCCATGGGCAGTGCAGCCTGGATTAATTGCTTTGGTAGGTGCTTTGGGGTGACATTGCTCATCCCCAGCCCACTGGTTGGCGACCACTGTTCTGGGCAATGATGTTAACCCTCTGGAGTGCTGTCCTATCTGCCACTGTGCAATTGGCAAACCATACAGAGGTGCAGTAAGTTAAGATACTCTATGGTGCAGCGGTAGACTGCACCAGCAGTTTTTCATTCAGTTGTTGTTTTCTGAGAAGTCTCAGGTAGTATAATCTCTGCTGGGCTCTTTTGACTAGTGCTGCAATGTGAGCACCCCAGGTCAGGTCCTCTTTTGTGGTAACACCTAGAAACTTAAAATTGGCCACTTGCTCTCTGTCTCCATTGATAAGCAAGGGCTGGATGTCTGATCTGCTTCTTCTATAGTCCACTATCCATTCTATGATCTGAATGAAATAGAGTTGAAAATTTCTTATTCAGAAGAGCTGAAGAAGCTTCTTGGATAAGAAGCGAAATATCTTCAAAGAAAAAACAGAAAGTCCAGTTGCCTCTTGAAAAAGCACCTTTGGTTATCTGATTATCATTGTAAATAATATATTTGGTTATACTGATTACCATAGTAGGAATTGTGTGACTTAAAGACACAACCTGGTATCCTGAAAAGGGTGCTAGGGTGTAAAATGTGATTGGTTGGCTGATTGATTGTTTAGCTACAAAACAACTTACTTTTTTTCTCCCAAGATTTTACATACATTGAATGTATATATGTATGTAAGAAATATTAATAAATACATAAAATATTTATGATTGCCGTGTTCTTTAACAGTATGATCATCTGGTCTTATGACTTCTTCTAGATTTTTTTATCAATGAGAATAGTACAACTTAGATTGTGACTCATAAATCAAATATGTTTTATTAAAAATGATCTTTCTTTACAAGAGAAAATTATCAGAAATCAATACAATACAAATATGACTTAAATGTATACAATTGAATCTTAATGTTCATGCATTCTGAAAAGTACACCTTAGTCTATGATTTGTAAGCTGGTAAATCACATTAAGAATAACAATTTTTCTGGAGAGGCTCACGCTCAAATTAAATGGGAAGGAAGAGTCAGAGTATTATTTGGTTTGGGATAAGTGGTACAGCTGGGTAGAGTGCAAGAAAAAAGGTATACAGGATAAATGAACCCAGGACACATACTATAGTTGTATATATTGAATGCATAATAATAACGATTTCAAGCTTCTTATCTATTATATAAATATTACGAAGGCGCCATTCGATTAACCAATACAGTTATAATCCAATAGTAATAGCAGAATAATATATTATTAATAGGTAATTGATAAGAGATAAGGAACACTTGCCAATGATTACTTACTACTATTTATTATGAGCTATCAATCTTAATATCAAATGTAATAGAAAGAAATATGTTTATTGTTCTGTTTATATTCTTTTTATGTTCTTTTATGTTCTATTTATATTCCTTCTATTCTCATATGTTTGTTTGTGTTTTAATCTTTTGTAAATAAAGTCTATTTTAACACTCAAAAAAAAAAAAGAATAATTTTTCTACTGGATAGGTTTTTTTGCTGGATTTTTTTTTTAAAAAAGAAGGAATAGATAATGTTTTTCTCAGGTCTTGTTACCAAGAATAAAGTTGATAAATATGCTAAGGATCTCCTTCCTACCCCCTTCCCACTCTCTCCCAAATCTATGCACCTGCAAATGGGGAATAGGTAATTGTATTTTGTGAGCCACATGTGGCCCATGACCCAGCTTTTTGAAAGATTCAGAGTCTTCCAGAACATACTGCTGACATTCAGCAACAATTTGGTGGACTTTGGAAGTGTGATATCCTGCTAATTCTTAGCATGAAATAAACAGCTAGACTTTTGGCTAGACTGAGCATAGTGTCATTTACAGTGCCTGCAGATGCCATTGTATGCACAACACACTCTCATAATAGCATCCACAGAATTCTAAAAATATATTAAATCTAATAGAATAAATCCCTGGAATATTATCCATTAACTTCCTAGATAAATATGACCACTCAAAAGACAGTGGAAAGTTGAGATACTTTTTCATAAATAGCTGGGTGATATATGTACATGTGCGTGTATATATACTAATAATTGATTCTGGTGTATATTTTCATGGAGGCTTACTCAGTAGCAGATTTATTAGTCTTGGAGATATCTCATACTTTTTGTTTGTTTTAGCAACCAGAGATTAGAATCCTGCTCCTATTAGTCACTGAGTTGGGCATTTTTTAAGTTTCAATTGTTTTATTACATGT